AGAGAGCCGAAGGTCCGGGTGGGGGGATCACACCCGAAGGGGAACCACTTCAGGGAGCTATGCTGCCGGGTATGATGGTGGAAGAGTCCGCCTGAGGGGAGGAATCCAGGTGGGGTTCAATAGGAGGATTCTGGGGCCCAGTGTGGGGGCCGGTGATGATGAGAACATCTAGATGCTATCTGCGAGGCTTGGGCTGTGGTGTAGGGGATGAATGGAGCTGCAGATAGCACCCCCTGGCATCGGGGCAGTAAATGGGTAGCCTCCCGCTTATTAACATCTACTGATTTAATAATAACAACAAGGCATGGTGGGCAAGAAGATGGGCAGTTAGCCCAGGAACAGGTGGGCGGGCCACAGCAAGATCGGCCCTGAGCAGGCCCCCTGTTACAAGATGTTTGATTTTTAGTATATGACTAGCTGAAATTGTTGTTGTTGGGGTTTTTTTTTGTAATTGCGTGTTTGTTTATTTTTCAAAGAACTTACTACAACATATTTAGGTAAAAAATATTGTTTATTTTTAAAGAACATAGTACAACGTATTTAATGTGGAGCAAACAAAGGCAAGCACCAATATAATAATGACAATTGAACTTAATTCACCATATCCAAAAAGGTACCATTTTGTAATCTGAGAAGTGAAATAATCCCAGTCAATGGAAGTACCAAAAAGGGTCAAGTGAAAAATAACCCACCTATAGTTTTCTTTGGATAGTATTCAGTGACTTTGGAAGGTTTAGAGTAGATAGGACCAGCCATTCTTGAGTTATAAGCAAACATACAGACATACACTTCATTTGATACATGTATAGATTTTTTTATCTATAATTTGTTAAAATTATATCTTCTGAATGATTTTGTATGTGCAGCTCTCGACAGCTCACCAAAACTTGTTAAGTAGCCCGCCAGCCAAAATAGTTGCCCGCCCCAACATAGATTGTAAGGAACAATCCTGCAGGGCAGGAATGAAGGCTTGATCCCAAATGGGAGTTTTCCATCTCTGCCTTCTGCTGCATCCTACACCAGGGGTGTTAACCCAGGAGCTAGACCAATGATTCTCAGCCAGGGTGATGTGGCACCCTGGGTCACTACAATGTCCTCTTAAGGGTGCTGCAGTACTGACCCCTCTGTGAAGAGATAAGTGCTTGCTTCTCCCCTACCTGGTGCTCTGCATCTACTCCAGTGTCTACAGTCAAGTGGAGCTTGCAGGGCTTCTCTAAGGACTCTCCCTGCTGCTCCCCCACCCCCATCCTTCCCCCTGCAAAGTGCTCTGAGCAATGTGCTCTGCTGCAGGGGGTGGTGGGGAGGGAGGGAGGGCGGTTGCAACACTGTGCTTTTCAACCCAACTTGTCCACCTGGTCCTTGTGTGCTTCTGGAGGAGGCAGGAGGGCCCAGCCACAGGGATAGGTGCTCCAGTCACTGGCAAATCTCCAGAGGAGCAGCCCCTGGTGGCAGGGATACTGCTTACTGCTCCAGGTACAGACTGGTGGTGGGGAGGGGGCAGATAGCACAAAGAGTTGGGGCATGGAGTGAGTTCAGGAGTTGAGGATCCTGTATTAAACGCATCCTGCCCTACAGTGGCATTGACTTGAGAGAGGTGGTTCCTCAGGAGCCAGAGTTCATATTATATAGGATCTTTCTGGCTGATTCCCAAAACTCTGAAGTGGGTCTAAAAATGAATGGGATTCCTGTGAAGTCCAGGTAGGACTGGTACCAGTAGGTGATCTTGTTGTGCAGCAGACTGCTACATTACAGCATTGTAAGCAACTACATGTAATGCAGAATCAACCCAGCAGGTTATCCCCATACTCCTCTATGGTCGTGAGACGTGGGTGACATATTGAAGTCACATTAAGTGCCTGGAAGATTGTTCGCATTAGATGGGAAGACCACTGCACCAATGCCAGCATCCTCTCTGCAGCTAACATAACCAATATTGAGGCAAAGATCATGAAACATCAACTCTGCTGGGCAGGCCACTGCATGCGAATGACTGTCTCCCAAAGCAAGTCCTCTTCTCTCAACTTAGTCATGGTAAGAGGATGACCCACAGAGGAAGTGCTACAAAGACACCCTGAAAGCATACCTTAAGAAGCATGGCATCAACCCTACAAATTGGGAAGTGCTGGCTGGTAACAGGTCTCAGTGGCACTGTACCATACATCAAGCTACAGCCCACTTTGAATAGAACTGTCTTGCTCAGAAAGCTGAGAAACAGCAGAGAGGAAGGAAAGCGCACAACATCCTGGCCAACAGTTGTGCCCCACCCCGCCAAGGCAGCACATGTCATATCTGTGGAAAAACTTGCAGAGTATGGACTAAACTCCTCAGCCACCTTAAAACTCACCAGTAATCCTATCTCACAAAAGACATCATCTTCATATAGAGAGATAGCTGATGATCCTTAAGAGCAGGGAAACCCCACGATGCCAGACATTTCTTAACTTCATATCCATACAGAACATGCAGATACCCTGGGTGAAGTCAGTAGGAGTTTTGCCATTGGCTTCAGTGCCACCAGAATTT